TTTCCGTGGAAACCGGGTTCAAATGGCTCTTTCGTGTCAAAGGTTGCCGACCGCTGCCCTAATCCGTTCCAAGCCCCACCAAAATTCAGACATAAATGTTTTCTAAAGCATAAAAATACATCAAAATTTGTAACAAATACATGTTACGATTAGATTATTGCACTATAAATGAGAGTTGTGCATAATGTAAAAAACAAAGAATAAAGAATAAAAATGATGGTCATTTAACTGTGAACTGCATCCTCACTGTTTTTTGCCCTCTTTAGTTCTCTCAGACGTGTTTTTTGCCTGGCGTTTTGAAAAGAACTGATCCAAGGACGTTTGCTTTTGTCGGCTTTTAACAATCCCTCAAAAATGTCCAAGGCGAACATCAGCATAGTGAGCGATCGCCCGACTGGTGAACACTTTTTCTGGGTGATTCACAGTTACGTCAAACTATCGGAATGCTTCATGGCCCAAGGAGCGAATGACGAGGACGCTGCAGAGACACATACAGTAGAGGTCCCTCTTAGCCAATGGGATGCCAGAAAGATGCTCGGTAATAGCCAATGGCAGAGCAGCTATAAGTATGTTGCGTTCAGGAAACTCTGAGCTGCGAGTAGCAGCCCATACTGTATTTTTACCTTTCATATCGTGAAATTTCTTTCGTAACAAGAGGCAATATTTTCCTGTTGTAATTTGAAAATTTCTAATGAAGAAACGTTTGTAAGTAGAGGTACCCTTGTACCGTATCCCCGCCCCCCCAGCCCCAACCCCTGCCAAAAACATTCAATTTTCTCAAAAGCCAGCAGCGCGCCTTTTATATGGACTTACAGTCTCTTCATATACCCCATTGAGTTGTTTCCCTGTTAGTGTTCGTCTGCCATCTAGTGGTGATTATTAGCAGTAACCTAAAAGTGTTCTGCCCGACACGAATTGACATGTGCAATCGCCAACAAACACTCAAACACACAACCACTTTGTGAGCTCTGCGCAGCCATTGGGAAACAAAGATAATACCAAAAGCGGAGTTAACGGCTGACTACACGAAGGAAGAAGGAGGCAAGCAAGGGTATTTGGCCCCTTGTGGATGCAAGCCCGCGAGGTTCGTGTGTCTTTTTGTTGAATCAATTGTCCTCAGAACTTTTGTCTCTTATTTATTGTTTTGTCATGCCATTTGTATTTATATGTTTCAAATCCGTGTTTGTGACCAGTTCTCACGGGTTGCCAAGGAATAAAGCATGTATTTTTATGGACTTTGTGTCGTGCTTCATGCTACATCCTGAGGGAGCTAATATGGATCAATATTCTGATTTCTTCAAATTATGGGGTAGCAAGTCTCTTCGCTAACTCTTCTGCCAGTATTAGCATCATCAAACCTCTTAGCGGGTGTTTTTTCTGGTCCTTAGTATTTTTCTTTGTCGATGTACTGCTGTTCTGTTGACAAGTTGGGCTGAGCTATTTTTAGTACAAAGTTTCTGAGTACGACCCGAAAAACGACTGCATCGGTGCTCACCGTCATCTTTATTTAGAATTACTATGATTATAAATAGTAAAACGGTAAAAGTGTCAGGTTACCTTTCATTATTCATCTGTTTAAGTCCTGCAACATTGAATCAACTTTTCAATTTCTGCACTGCAAAATGACCTCATTTTTGAAAAAAAGATAAAAAGCGTCAACCGTTCAACGGTCTAAATGAATCTCAACAACTGAAAAACAAAAATCAGGCCAACTTTTACGACTAGACTTGGCAGCTAACAGACAACCCCCCCACCCAGAAATATGACAGACTGAAATTTCCAAAAAAAAAACCTGAGTCCTACCTTTAACTCCTCCTTCTCTCCGCTGTCTTTGATAAATACCTTCTCCAGCTCATGGTTGATGCCCTCCATGCTGCTGGGTACCCGGGAGATTGAGGGCTTTGACACCGTGATGTTGGACAGCGGCATCTGGGCTGACTTCGACATGGAAAGGTGCTGAAGTGCACAGAGACAGTCTCAGCCAAACACCACAATTAGCCGATATTTGCACCGACTTAATAGTTTGCATCGACTAGTCATTTTGTGTATGCAAAGTTCTGAATTTTAAAAACTGAAGGTGAAATGCCAGTATTTTATTGAAAGTTTTTGTTCTAAAAAAAAAAAAGTCGTGTTCAATATTTCATGATTATGTAATATGTTTCACACAATAAAATGTTTCGCATTTTACAAAAATAAGTTAGCGCATGAGCGGCCCGCTGATCCGGTGGTTAGAACATCGACCTCACAGTGCAAAGGTCGTGGGTTCAATCCCAGCTCTGACCTTCCTGTGTGGAGTTTGCGCGTTCTCCCCGGGCCTGCGTGGGTTTTCTCCGGGTACTCCGGTTTCCTCCCACATTCCAAAAACATATATGAAAGGTTAATGGAACACTCAAAATTGTCCTTAGGTGTGAGTGTGAGCGCGGATGGTTGCTCGTCTATGTGTGCCCTGCGATCGGCTGGTAACCGGTTCAGGGTGTCCCCGCCTACTGCCCGAAAACAGCTGGGATAGGCTCCAGCACCCCCCGCGACCATTGTGAGGATAAAGCGGATCGGAAAATGAATGAATGAAAGTTATCGCATTTAAAAAAAATTAAGGCCAACATTAAAAATTCTATTTCGGTGATAAGCGTATGTAAATCGTCGATGGAGGGAGGCGAGATATGAAATCTCGCCAAAGGCCTCCACATTGCCAAGCGATGGAGTCAGAAATGTGTCACAGTGACATTTTACTCAAAACATGAAAACACAGAGTGAATTACCTGGGTGTAGCCGGATCTGGTGCAGTGTTTTTCGGTGTCGTCTAAGTTCAACAATGGGCTCACAGCTTTGCTTACACTGGAGCTGTGTCCAGAGCTTTGCAGTCTGCTGGAATCACATTCATCAGGGGAGAATCTTGGAAAACGGACTCCGGGAGTGCTCAGCCCCTAATCAGAATGAAGAACAACACCACCTTACAGTTAGTACACGAATAAATTACCATCCTTCAACACCAGAGGCGAGTGCTCTAAGACTGCAAGGGAAGCTCAGCTTCCCCTAAAATGTCAAAAAGTAAGTGATCAAATACATGTGTGTACATACAATTGTGTGTACATGTCATTGACTAAATATGCGCTACAACGCGCTCAACTTTTATTCCGAATCAGCTTCTTATTACTGGTTACGACGCGACTCTCTTCTAATTCATTCCCGCAGCTTCACTGTGCTTTAAACTGTGTGGACGCTGAGCGTCTAGAGGACAGACGGTGGCCGTCGAGAGAGTTCAGAGCCCGTTGTCCCAATGCATTGAAACGAGACGAGTCATTGGATATATGCTGGTTTTGTCCCGCCCATCGGACGCTCAGCGTCTCTGGGAGACGATGGACAGTGGGTGTTTATGGGCTGCCCTGGACGCTCAGCTTTTCTGCATGATGATTGGATGATCTGTCTGAGTCTGAATCTCTTTTTGATTGACAGCGAAATTAGCCAATCACCGATCTTATGGTGAAGTCAACCTTGTCATTTTTTTTTTTTTTTTAAAGGAACGGAGAGTAGAGTTCACGTATTAATAAACGGACACATTTTATGATGCAGGCCGAAATTGAGCTTCCCCTCCTTGGCAGACCAGCATTCGCCACTGATACAATGAAACCAAAGACCCAAAATTTGCAATGGTAAATTTGGCAAGCTGTACAGAGATGAGGTGTGGAGACACGTCGGTCAGTGCCTTAGCCAATCAGGATGCAGAACGCAATTCACTGTTTAAAAGCATTACAAAAATGCACCAAAAAAAATCTGTGAAACAGCGAAGCCGCGGAAAGTGAACCGCGTTAAAGCGAGGGATCACTGTATTAAATTTTAGGTTTTCATTGTCTGTAAACCATAATCAACAAAGTTACATGAAGTATAATCTCACATAACAGTGCAAGCTAAGTACATGGCTTATAACAGGATATGTGGTACATTTCTGAAAGCTTCTACCACTCACTGGTAAATATAGCATGTGTGTAGTATTAACCCTTTCAGGCTGTATGAGTGGTGACTACAGTGGACAGATTTTCATGTTATCAGGTTACAGGGTGCATGAAATGGTTAATGAATCAGCAAAATGCACCCGTTTCTATCCTACTTGCTGTCAATGGAAAATGATAATGTGACGCGCACTTGAAAATATGAACTTGTGAAAAGCCGTATGGCATTTTATGACATTTATGGGCATCTGTCAGCATTTGTTCATATCTTCGAATATTTGCAAATCAAACATAAGTGGAGGATTACCTGTTTTGTTAGGAGATAAGCAGTTTTTTTTCTTAGGGGGCGAGTAAATGTTGGAAATAATCAGTTAACCCTTTCAGGGAGCGCGGTTATTACAGTGGTCAGCTTACCATGTTGTCAGGTTACAGGGTGCATGAAAGGGTTAAAATAGAGCATGTTGTTATGTCAACCTGGGTTGCAGCTGTGCAATTCACTTGCCGATCGTTTTTTTTTTTCCGCCTAACAACGGTTTTCACCAAACTGAAGTCATGCTGTAAGTCTCGCAAGACATGCCTTGGTCACGCGTAACATCATGCAAGCTTTGTGTGACTTCAGACATGTTTTGCAAGATTTGGGTTATTGCGACTTTGTACAACTTGCACGGCATTTGATTAAAGGGGTTCCACAGTCGTAGAAGGAATTCTAAAATTTAATATATATTGGTACCTCAACTTACAAAATTAATTGGTTCTGGAAGATATTTCTTAACTAAAAATTGTAAGTAGAGACGCGTTTTCCATATCAATGTCCTAATTCGTTCCAAGCCCCCACCCAAGTTTCCTAAAGCATAAAAATGCATCAAAATACCTAACAAATACATGTTACAATTAGATTATTGCACAATAAAAGACAGTTGTGGATAATGTCAAAAACAAAGAATAAAGAAGAAAAACGATGGTCATTTAACTTTTAACTGCATCCTCATCGTTTTTTGCCCTCTTTAGTTCTCTCTCAGAAGTGGTTTTTGCCTGGCGTTTTGTAAAGAACTGATATCCAAGGACGTTTGCTTTTGTCAGCTTTTAACAATCCTTTGAAAATGTCCAAGGCAAACATCAGCATAGTGAGCGATCGCCCGACTGGTGAACACTTTTTCTGGGTGATTCACATTTACCTAAAACTATCGGAAAGCCTCATGGGCGAATGACGAGAACGCTGCATACACACAGATCTATGTACAGTATCTATCTATCTATCTATTTCTATTTTGATATCTATCTATCTATCACACAAAGACACATTCGGTTGAAGTCCCTCTTTGCCAATGGGACGCCAGGATGATGCTCGGTAATAGCCAATGGCAGAGCAGCTATAAGTATGTTGCGTTCAGGAAACTCGGGGCCCATCCTGTATTTTTACTTTTCGTATCTTGAAATTTATTTTGTAACTAGAGGCAATATTTTCCCGTTGAGCCGTTTCGTGACTTGAAAATTTCATATGAGACGTTCGTAAGTAGAGGTCGCCCTGTATGTCAAAACAGATGTCAGGGGTGTCTGGAGGAAAAAGCAGAGCAGCTGCAAGAATCAAAATTCTGCACTCGAATCTTGCACGTCTTGTCTGACTTTTACAGTTGTGAATCTGTTTGTATCATTCGTGACATTCCATTTGCTTTGCCTTACCGCTGAAGCTCGATACTGCGCCAAGATACAGAAAGCTGCCGGCGGTCCCGACTTGGCTTGTTTTGTCAAACCCACATCCGAGTGTCTGGAAAAAAAAGCAACAACACATTACTAACTCTAAATTTAACTGAGGTCCATTGGCACATGGAATTTTCTTTTTGTCCGTTAAGACCAACTTTTATTCTGTATATTTTTCTTTTTAAATTACGTTTTTTTTTGGTTTGTTTTTTTACTTTGGAAACATATCCAGCAGAACTTAAGTGACAGTTGCCTGACAGTTCGCGAGTCACTCTCAGGGCGCACACAACCTTTCACTCACACATTTACATCTACAAACTGAATTTGGAATCTGACCACAGATATGTTTTATGATTGCAGGAGGAAGTTGCCGTCGATTCAACTTTCCACTCCCGCTCATCTGCAGTATGTAATAATACTCTAAATTAGTGAAAAACGCGACATTCCTGCAAAGCGATCAGTGATCACCATCACCACCTGCTTTATGTAACCAATCGAACACGGGAAGAATCCTGCATGTTCTGAATTTTACTGAAATGAAGTAATTCAGAATCAATGTGTGTTTAATAATATGACAAAAACAAATTTAAATTAAATATCTGACACCGCCCCGTAATTGGTTGGCAACCAGTTCAGGGTGTCCCCCGCCTACTGCCCGAAGACAGCTGGGATTGGCTCCAGCATGCCCCGCAACCCTTGTGAGGAAAAGCGGATGAGAAAATGGATGGATGGATGGATGTCACGCTAAATATTTACTGTATCAATGGGGGCAGATCACTACACGTATTTTGCGAGTTTAAACTGCCAGTCAGGTTTAGACCAAGTCCAAGTTTTGCTTGGACCAAGGAATCAGACGACAGAAAAATGCAGATTTTATTGAGGGCTTTGCGCAGCTCTAAGCATCAAGGCTGTGGGAATGATTTCAGAATGATGAATTACCACTAGATGGCATGAGTAGCTTGGATCTGATCTTGATACACACATTCTGTGAATGGCCGTGTATCCTAGTGGCGAGGTGGTGTGTGAAAGCAGTGTGGTGGGGAGAACATGGATGAATACCGGAAGCTAACTCTACAACAGAGCGTTTTCGAATCAACAAAAGATGATGCAGTTCCAAAATTAAAAACATTTTGATGGATTATGAGCTTTCCAAATATGCATTGGGAGTGGAGGGGGCGGGGTTGACGCGCTTGAGACAGACCAAATGCACTCGTCTTTGCATCTGCCAAGTTGTGAAGCATAACAGTGTAGATATCTGACTTTAATTAAGTCCCACTTCAAACATAAAGCATAAAGTGGTCATTGGGGGTGATAGTAATCGTTTTCACACGCAGAAGGTGCATGAATAAATGATGTGTCATCTTCTTTAGTAGACGTCTCCATGAAATGACATCAAGGGCTGATCGTCCCCTTTCTTCAATAATTTGTACCTCCTCCTTTGTCAATCCCCTCGATGTAATTTATGATGGGAGATGCGAGCAGTTAAAGAGAGGAGCGAGGACCTAGGAAGCTGCAATTTAACAAATGAGATGAACCCAATGAGTTATTATGAACTTGCAAAGAACACACCCAAAATGGAGGCAATATGCGCGTCATCAACCAGCCAAGGCTTGCTCGAGCTAGTATCTATGCTCTCCGCAGCTAGCTGCCACGTACTTTGCAGGCTACGCCATCCAGCATTCAGGATGTTTGCCGTGAGGACTTATGACTACTCTTTTACAGCACAAAAGCATGCAAGAACTGACCCAGATTCTACTGTTGGCCGCAATGCAATGTGAGATTCTCAACTCAACTGTATTGAGGAAACCCGAGTACCCGGAGAAAACCCACGCAGGCCCGGGGAGAACATGCAAACTCCACACAGGAAGGCCGCAGCCGGGATCGAACCCACGACCTCTGCACTGTGAGGTCAACGCTCTAACCACTGCACCGCTGCCACCCCCCCCCCTCTCTCTCGATAGATAGATAGATAGATAGATAGATAGATAGATAGATAGATAGAAGGGTGGCCCCTCTGTGTCATAAATGCATAAAACATCTGTGGCTCATCTCTGTACTTTACCAAATCTAATCTGGCCTTCCAATTCTTTTTACTACTGAGTTGTTTGCATCTTGTGGTATGGTCTGTATATTTCTACTCTCGAAGTCTTCTTCCAACAGTGGATTGTGATACCTTCACTGCTGTCCTGTGGAGGTTGGCAGTGATGTCACTGACTGTTGTCTTTGGATGCAAATGCTGTTGATAGCCTTGACCAACCTGTCCGATGTCTGTTACTGACTCCACCAGTCGTTTCTTTTTCAGGACATGCCACATTATTGTATTGGTTATGCCCAATGACTGCGCAATCGACTTGGATCGATTTAATCTCAGCGTCAAAATGGTTTGCTTTTCTCCCACTGACGCCTCTCTGATCTGCATGTTTGCTATACAGCAAATGCAACTTTCACAGGTGAAACCCCAAAACAAAGACTATCTAATGTTGAAGCAATCAAACTAAAAGACAACGACCAAACAACTGTAAAAACACCCATCAGTCACAGAAATCAATACTTTTTGCTCACTTGAAAAGTGGGTTATTCAAAACAAAAACAAAAAAAAAAAGGTACGGTACTCTATTCTGAGCTGTTCAACACATCCAGATGTTTCCACCAAGAAATGAAAGTTGGAATTGTGAACGTTTGTCTCATGTTCATCTTTTGATCTGAAATCACACAACAAAAACAAGAGTTGACTTTACCATTCTGTTTTACACACACACACACACACACACACACACATATATATATATATACACACACACACACACACACACACACACACACACAATTTCAGAATGACCCCATTAAACAGTTAACCACCTAGCATAACATAACATGGCCAAATCATGAGCAAACAGAACGATTTCAAATATTAAACTAGTATCAGGTACAATTGGCGCTGCTCCGTCTTGTTTATTAAATCCAAGATGTCTAGCAAAAATTTACAAACTTCAACCTGACGGTGCAATTCGGCGTACGAATAATTTACATAACTGTACTCGTTTTGATGATAAATGCTGACCTACTTAGTCCATCATGATAAAACGTGACACCAAAACAAGACGTGGCGTCTGATGACAAACACTGGGAAGCAAATAACACATTTGAGACTATCTTGAATGTATCGTTTAATGGTGACCTAATACATTAACCGAATACAATAAAACGCTGTCATGCTCCCTGCGTGGTAAAGTTGCGTTTTTAAAACTGTCGTCGACATTGTTTATTACCGCTTTCTGCTTAAATTGCCTTATTTTACGATCGAGTACTGGTACTAGCGTCGCTCCATTTGCGACAGAACGGTGCTTAGCTTAGCACTATGCTATCGAAACGATGATAGGTGCCTTGCAAAATACGCCTTTACGTTACCTTCGGATTCTGAATATGTGAACGTGTGTGATGGTGAGTTCCTGGTAGTCGAGGGACGAACGTCTGTGAGGACCAGCCAGATGTCCGACCTGCCTGCACCCGGGCTGATGGGACTTGAGCGACGGGACGAGGTCAATCCAGCCTTGTTTCCAGCTAACGAGGAAGAACACAAGACCGTTGGGGTGTGCTGGTTTCCACGCAAAGGCTTCTACGGCCCCATGGCGCGCATGAGCCTGCAACTGGATCGCGGTGCTGCAAGAGGAGGAAAAAGCGATGTGATGAAAGTGACACTCTCCGGGAGAGACCCCGATGATGCTGCACATTCAGACCAATTTAAATAGCTCCTGTAACGCCATGTTGAGAGCTTAAAACAATCATCTGACATGTTTTATCAGCAAACAAAACACAAATAGATCATAACATATCTAACTCCAGCACAGAGCTCCTGCGTGAAAAGGACAGTACAGTACTGTATACTTCAGTATACGTACAGATACTGTATTAAAGAACACTGGTAAAAGCAGAAAAGAATTTATTATAATCCGCCTCTTCAGTAAATTATAGACTAGGGCCGGACGACATTGAGATTCCCCCCAATATTAGATTCCAGTTTTAATATGCTATTTTTTCCCCATGTCCGCTTTCCTATGTATTTTTAGACAAACTCAAGGAATTAATTAGTCTGTATTACAAAGCCGATTCCAATGAAGTTGCGATGTTCATTGTGTTAAGCATAAATAAAAGAATACAATGATTTTCAAATCTATCCCATGACTGGGCCTTAAAAGGAGCTTCCCTGAATTGCCGTGTCATTCACAAGCAAGTGCATGAACAACTGCGTGAGAAAATCATCGCACGGTTTAAGGACAATGTTCTTCAATGTAGATTTGCAAGGAATTTAGTTCTCTAAACCTTTTATACCGAGTACCACCAAGAAAAATACTGAGCTCATAAAGTACCACCATAATGACTAACATTAAAATACGGTAGTGTAGTAGGTCCAAGTGTTCGTGAAAAATGATACCGTTGCAAGTCACTGTAACATGCACAGTTTGGCCATTAAAACTGTGCCTAAATGTTGGAAAATTATACACAAAAAAAAAAAAAATAAAAATACGACTGAACTGTACTTGGGTAGTAATTCATTGAAGTAGCACCAGAAAGAGCTCAAGTACCAAACTATGAGAGATTCACTGGAATAGAAAATCCTTCTGGTCCCAACCTTGAATATAGCAGACAAACCAAACACCGTTGACATCGTCACAAACTGGCACGATGGGAGTAAATAAATACTTCGCACACAATACACTTACCCTCTTTAATGAACATATATAGTACTCATGTCATCCATCCATCCATTTTCTGATCCGTTTTTGCACACAAGGGTTGCAGGGCGTGCTGGAGCCTAACCCAGCTGTCTTCGGGCAGTCGGTGGGGGGACACCCTGAACCGCTTGCCAGCCAATCGCAGAGCACACAGAGACGAACAACCATTCATGCTCGCGTTCATACCTATGGACAATTTAGTGTTCCTTTAACTTGCCATGCATGATTTTGGAAAGTGGGAGGAAACCGGAGTCCCTGGAGAAAATCCACACAAGCCCGGGGAGAACATGAAACTCCACACAGGGAGGCCGGAGCCGGAATCGAACCCGGCCAATCTGTTGGTGTAGTCATAAATTCTCTCTGGTTCACGTTCCTCCTTATACTGCTGCTGCTGTCGCTGTTTTAGTACGCCTTATCAGGCTTCGTATAACGAATGACGTTACACTCACCACCACGCCTGAAACCTTTAGCACCACCTCAACGTTCCCACCCCCACATCAGTTGCATCCATGACACCAAGATCTCAAATGATCAAGATCGCTAGAACGGTTGACTTTAGCTACCTCTATTTATATTTCCTTTTTTAAGTAATAAGCAAATTTGGGGGGGTGGGGGGATAAGTAAGTAAGTAAGTAAGTAAGTAAGTAAGCAAGTAAGTAAGTAAGTAAGTAAGTAAATAAATAAATAAATAAGGAGTATAAAGTACAGACTAATCTCATTTCAAACGACAGAAGTAACTCTAAATCGACAGTGGGTCAACAACTTCCTGGTTGTGCTTTTAATCCTTGGTAATCTTCAGTCGTAACGTATCACAATTATTTTATATACAGTCAAACCTCGGTTTTCGAACGTCTCTGTTCTCGACCAAAAATTTCGCGTTTTTTTTATGCCTCGGATTACAACCGAAAATCGGTTCTCGACCAAACCGAGCGCACTTGAATGCGCCACTTGACTCCTCTCGCCTTCCTTACACGAGAAAGTGACGCTTCCTCGGGTAGACGAGGAAGTGACGCTTCCTCGTGTAGCGTTCCATTGTGAGCAGACGTGTTCAATAAAGATTTTTTTTTTTTAAAGAGCGTGGTTTCGGTTTTCGAACAAATCGGTTTTCGGACAGCCTTCTGGAACGGATTATGGTCGAAAACCGAGGTATGACTGTACTGTCGTCATAAAAAAAATAAAAAAAAAAGTAGCAATGCCCACTCATTCTAGAAAAACGTCTGTAGAAAATAAAAATATATCAGGGATGTTAGTAATTGATGGTTAAGAGTTTGCCTTCAAACAACAATATGACAGATAACTATATCTATTTATTGTAGACTGAAAGGCAGTAAGGCACATTGTTGACATTGTTTCAACATCCAAAACACAGTACAAATTGATTTGTTGGCAACTACTACATGCTTTTGGAAAAGAGACTACCTAAAAAAAAAAGAAAAAAGACTGAATGAAAATACCGTGGAAGCAATGGGTAGTGTGGGTCACTCATTTATGTACAGTGATCCCTCGCTACTTCGCGGTTCACTTATCGCGGTTTCAGTGCATCGCGGATTTTTCCAAAGTACTGTATTCAGAAAAAAAAAGGCTGAATGACTCGGAGGTTTTGTACATGCCTGTACTGTATATGCAGCATGATTGGTTCCTGGTGCTGTCATCGACCAATGACAGCACCGAGTGGATTTATCCGGTGAGCTGATTGGCTGCGCATCTTCACAGCACCGCCCAGCACCTTCAGTCTCATCACGCTGGTGACTCTCTGGCATACTGTCTTTTCTGTTGTTTCTACGTGCGCGGCGGAGAGAGAGGAGGCGATTCTAATCAATATCGATTAATTGTCTTATCATTAACACATCGGCTGCGCGGGGATAGCCGGCCAGGAGCTGGCTGGAGGCTAACGGCGGCACACCGTCAGACCGCCAAGTGAGGGCCACCTTCGACGCCACCAGCGCAAGTCTCTTCGCTTCTTTCAGAAGGCAATGATGATGAATGTTAATTACTGTATAAGGTTTTATCATTAAAGAATGAAGTAAATACGTGTACTGCTGTAGCTGTTGTCTCGAATATGTAAAGTATAAACACTGTTTACATATTTTAAATATGCCAGTACCCTCCAGCCCTTACACAAAAATTCCTAGGGGGTGGGGGAGGGGCAAACCCTACTTCGCGGATGTTCGTCTTTCGCGGGGGTTCTGGTCCCCATTAACCGCGATAAGTGAGGGATCACTGTATCGTAAAAAAAATTTGAAGTCATTCCAAAAACCGTCCACTTCTCAGATTACGTGTCTGGTTTCTACTGATCGACAGCGAGATGAAAACAAAAACATCAACGTCTTCATATTCAGTATGACGTAAAGTGGCATGGCATCACACTGTCAATTAGGGAAAAATATGTTTTGACAGTTTCGTGTCATGTAGGATTTTATATGGTAACCAAATCTTTCCATTTCAGTGAATGAAAAATGTTGCAAATGTTAAATTCAACTAATCTGAAATGTTGATTTACCTCAATTGGTAGGATTGTCTTCGTGTCTGATAAACAAACAATCTATGCGGGCTGGAAAACCCCTCTGCTACTTGATCATCTTGAGATCAACTTAAGCCCATTAATGACCCTGAATGGGATACACAGTCGCAAATGCAGTAAAGACACAAAAACCTCATTTTCACTTGGCCATGGTGGGGAAAAACTACGAGTTAAGGAGGACCGATTTTTCGAGAGTGAAGTCATATTGAAAATACGTTAGGTTAGAGTTCATGTCCTTGGACAGCAGTATATCAGGAATGTAAGAGAACCCTCTTTGCATTGCCTGAACATGAGGTGCCAAAGCGAAGGGGATGTCACCAAGGAGATCGGGGGCCGGTGACGACGTCTCGACGACCGAGGACCTGTCTTCCAGGTTTGTGAGCGACGGAGCTGTGCTTGCAATTGGTTCCATTGATCGAGCTGGAGCAGGGCATGGTGGCTGCCAAAAAGCAGAAACAGAATTTGTGTTCGTCAAATCCTATTAATTGTTACCAAAGTAATAATGGCTGTGAAGATACAGAACATTCGGCAATGTCATTGATGCATAAAGCGTGATGCAGATGGGAGAATCAAAGAAAAACATTTTTTTTCAAATGTTGAGTGTATGTAGTGCAGGGGTGTCAAACTAATTTTTGGCGCGGGCCACATTTTAGTTACCGTTTCACTCGGATGGCCGTTATGACTGAAACCATACAAAGAAGTCAAGAATAGCTGTTGATTCAACTGGTGTTTAAGTCAGTGTTTTTCAAACGTTTTTGAGCTAAGGCACACTTCTTACATTGAAAAAAATCTCGCGGCACACCACTAGCTGAAAATGTGAAAAAAAAAAACGCTTATTTTAACAATTAACGTGTTGTATTGTTAATTTAACCGTTTTTGACATTGGAGAATGACGTTACAACAGCTTGAATTGGAATCAAATGAACACAAAGAAAAAAGTATTCTATAATCTTGATATTTATTGTTTCACTGTCGTCCGTCCTGCATTCATGCGGCACAAATTCGCTTGTCTCTAGTGGTCGAAACACAAGGCAATTGGCTAGCTGTTGCTGCTCCCTAGCGGTATGGGAGGGTACTAAACGATTACTTTCTTGGCGATTCACAGGCATACAAATTGGATGTTTTACCGCGGCACACTGGCACATGGTTTGAAAAACACTGGTTTATGTTACTATCATGAGGGCTTTGGTAACAAGAAAATGCTTAGAGTATATATAGAGTAATGGGTACACTATATCTCTGATTTATTACGTATGACTTCAAGATGGCGCTGCGAGAGTGGCTGCCTTTACAGCAGCTCCTACACTTTTTGTTCTTCTACTTTCTTCCTTTCATAACTTTGTTGCTGTGAATTGGGAATTTCTCCATTGTGAGACGAATAAAGGTTTTCTTATTCTTATATGACAATTTAAAATGTTTAGAAGACACCGTGTAGACATTTTTAGGAAGGATCATGGAAGTTGACATGTTTGCTTTTGCGGGCAACATAAAATGATGAGGCGTGCCAGATTTGGCCCCCGGGTCTTGATTTTGACACCTGTGATGTTGTGTGTGTATTAAGTTGTGTGTTAATGTACAGAGCGGCCCGGTGGTCAACTGGTTAGCGCATCGGCCTCACAGTGCAAAGGTGCAGGGTTCAATTCCGGTCTTCCTGTGTGGAGTTTGCATGTTCTTCCTGTGCCTGCGTGGGTTTTCTCCGGGTACTCTGTTTTCCTCCCACATTCCAACAACATGAGTGGCACGTTCATGGAAGCCTCTAAATTGTCCTTAAGTGTGAGTGTGAGCACAGATGGTTGCTCGTCTACGTGTGCCCTGCGATTGGCTGGCGACCAGTTGAGGGTGTCCCCTGCCTACTGCCCAAGACAGCTGGGATAGGCTCCAGCACCCCCCGCGACCCTTGTGAGGATAAAGCGGATCAGAAAATGGATGGATGGATGGATAGAGCTTGATATTTTATGAATCCCCCTGACTGGGTCACTGCTTTTGTAAAACATTCAACCTTGTTAAACAGCGTTCCAAACTCCAATTTGTCAAGCTTACCTTCCGGATAGTCGACACACGCACAATAAGGGATAGTGCTTCGTTATTTAATTTACATTAACTGGGAACTGGGAATTAATTAACTTGCGTCACGGTGTAGGTTAGCCAGGCATGGACAAATGGACTATCAGTAGGCCGCTTGCGGCCGAAGCCATGGGGCAGCAATCTTACGTGGCCACTGTTAATGACAACTTTTTTTTTCCCCACTGAGAACACGGATATCAGTGCGTGTTTTACGCCAGGATCCTTGCATGGAGTAATGAGAGACTCTCCAAGCAGGCTCTTGCAGCCGAGTACAAGCAGCCTAATGTTAAAAGTATATTCATAGATTGACATGTTTATGATTTATCAGTAATGTTTTGTTTGTTGTCACAACAGAGTCCTGAGTTTTGACATTTGTATGATAAATTTTCTGAAAATTACACTAGGGCAGAACTTTGTTTTTGATCAATAAAGCTTCGCCTCTTGACAAGAAAATACGGTTTGCTGCTATATACAATGTGAATTTAAGAAAAACTGGGGAAAAAAAAAATAAAACCCTTGCTTCAATTCCCTGGGATTAACTGAGAAAAAAAAAGCTCCATAAAGTTAGAAAAGTCGCTCTTCAACGTACTTTTACAGCTGACGTGAATTTTCAAGACATAATTGTAAAATAAGTGCCAGTGTTTGCGTCATTCCCAGGGTCCTTTCATTCATATTGCACAAAAACAATAATCAGAAGATCGTGTTTCGACGAGTGAGGGCACATTGTACAGATAATCATAAAGAATATTTTTGACTTGACTTTCCATTTAAGTGTTGTCAATACTGCCTTCAGCCAGTTCATCATCGCAGCAGTACAGATTATGCTGTACTTCCATGATTACATCCAAAGCGTCACACTATTTCTCATGTCGATGACCAGTGTGCATTTTAATTACACAGAACTTTTTGGTATGGCTTAAGGTTAAAAATGGAAAAAGCTCACCTTAGAAGGCAAGACAATAACATTTGTTGATGGTTGTGCAATGTTCATCGACTGCATCTTCCGCCTCTGCTCTTCCACTGATTCTCCTGCAAAGACACAAGTTATTTCTTTCGATATTAAAACGAAGCCAAGGTTTCCACTGAAATGCGTTCAAATTCAACCCCCCCAAAATTCTTCAATAAATGTCACAATTCCACGTACATTTTCCACAGATAATTGGGGGGGACAGAAAACCATAAAATATTCCAATTTTTTTTTTTTTTTAATCCACAAATATGTGAAACTATCTATCTAGCTAGCTAGCTAGCTAGCTAGCTAGATAGATAGATAGATAGATAGGTAGATAGATAGAACTTTGAAGATTATTTATTACACGACATTTTGGTACAGATTTTTATCAAGGATGATGGAAGTTGACACACACGATTTGCTTTCGCAGCCCACGTAAAATGATGTGGCAGGCCGGATGTGGCCCCGGGCCTTAAGTTTGACACCAGTGTGCTTTGGTCAAACGTGCTCAGGAAGTCGGAGGCGGAAATGAAGTTATTTTGTTGATACCGTGGGAAGATGGCGGAAATGTGGCCTGCCATTGGTGTAGCACGGACATTGCTCTCCGCCGAAGACGCCCGGTGTGAAGCCGCGTTGGACACAATACATGGTAAAAATTAACGTTTTGAAAATCAGTGACATCAACGACAATGTACACGTACTAACATAACATTAGCCCTGTGCCGATCTGACCTCTCGGAGACCTCACACCCATGACACAGAAGTCTGGTGTGTCAGATCGCACTACACATAATGTTGCATATCCTACATGGCACCACAATTTGTTACTAGATTGACTTATAGTGTGATGAGCAAAATGGCTGTCATTCCCTGACGAGCGAGCTCAAGCTCCCTTTATTGTTCAAAATAACAGATGCCAACTCCGAGCATCGGCATTCGCCAGGAGCGTGCCGCATGTGCTCGTTGTTCCTGGGTGGAACCAAGAGCTCCGGCGCAGATCCACACTTGTGCATGCCCGCAAACTGTTTCCTTGCTGGCTGGACTTATTTCTTTTTGTCCTGCCTCCAAGACGAATTGTATGGGCGAGCCATGCTTCTGGCGGTGGCACGCGATGACGGGCGGTATCTGGCCAGTCTGATACTTTTACTGTGGCCACTCTCCTGCTCTAAGAAGACACAGGATGATTTTATGACATCATGTCTGGTAGTATGACATAGCAACCGTCATGTCCGACAAAAAAAATAAATAAATAAAGTGTCTTCATTTTAGTTTGAAGACGCCAAAACTAGGAGTAGTAGCCTACAAAGAATACCTCTGCGAATTGTAATTCAGTATGTCACTTGCCGAAATGCTTGCTACTTCAGTCATGTTGCATAAAGGCAGCAAACTAGGAGTAGTAGCCTACAAAGAATACCTCTGCTATTGTAATTCAGTATGTCACTTGCCGAAATGCTCGCTACTTAAGTCATGTTGCATAAAGGCAGTTAATGCTTTTTTTTTCTTTCAAATAAATGCCTTATGTTGTTGAGATAAAAAATGCTAGCTTGAAACTGAAATGTGTATTTTTGTTTGAAATTGCCACACAGAAAATGATGCCACGCAAGAAAATACTTTGCTGATATGCACAATGTGAATTTAAGAAATTGGAACTGTAGATTTTATCATTTGTTTTAAAAAAAAGTAACCAATCTGTAAAATCCTTTATTTTCTCTTTTATACTTATAAATGCTCCTTTATCAAGTAAAAATATATTTTATCCAAATATTTAGTTGTTTGATAACATTTTCAATAGGCTACTCAAACACTAAAGTATTAAATAGCTGCACCCTTACAACTTCCCTATCAATTATTTTGTCATATTTTGGTTGTTCAACTAAAACATTGTGAGAGGTCACTGGGATTTGCCCAGCAAAAAAAATTGCTCTCAATATTAACAATGATTACATTACATTTCTTTTCAAATTACGTAATTGAAAGGCAAAAATGTTCTTCAAAGAAAAGAAAGTTATTCATAAGGATTTAAAATGATGCATGTTTCATGTTAAACGTGACCAAAAAAATTATGGCGTTATGATGATTTAAAATACAACAAGAGAACTTTTTAAATGTAATTTTTTTTTAGAAAATCGCTTTTCAAATTCTGAAATACTGGAAATGAAAACCCCTTAGTTATCATACCTTTGACTTTTAGTAAGCTAGACGTATTTAAGATAAGATAAGATAAGATAAGATGTCTTTTATTTGTCCCACACTGGGGACAATTTATTGTGTATGGAAAGAACGCACTCTTGCGATTCTTATGACATACATTTAATGGGGTTTTTTTTATCACATACGATCTGTGGACTAAATGCATGGCAGCTCATTATTATACGCATTTTATCAACAAATTTAACTTCAAATCAGAGATCATGAAGAACAAAGGGAAGCAACATTTTTCTGTTTTTGTTGACAAAAGATTTGGTGAAAAAAATTCGAATTAAAAATAAACACTTAAAGGCACATTCCAACATGAAAATCAGTCTATTTAGCAATAAACATCATGGAGACACATTCGTTCCATAGAGCCACAGAAAATGTTGTGCGGGTGAGATCTGATCCCCAACTTTTAATTCGAAACCCAAGTTTCAAGGCAACAATGATACTGGTTCTCACCGATGATCACAAAGCCTCCGTCAGGGTCCCTCTCTGACGTCGACTTCTTTGAATCTTTTCGGAAACCCAGGAAAGACAACATAGTTGCGCTGTGTGCATAAAAGTTCTAGTTAATAACAGAAGTGCTCAATGTGTCAAATGGCATATTCACTAACATCAAAGATGTAAATGTGAAAAGTACAGAAAAGCTACGTCATTTAACGTCGAAGTACTCGAGCATCGTCGTACTTGCTTTGTTGTGAAGTCGAGGAATCAAGTCATAAAAGTGTTGTAATTGTGTGATTAAATGACGTACTGACGGCATACGACAAGCTGTTTTTATTTTTTTGGAAACAAAGATATAAAAGACGAAATATATGCAAATATCGTGTCACATTTAATTTGTCCAGAATTACCGTGTTGTTGTGACCTCTTTGTTATCCGTGTCCGTGTAGAAACTACATTTACTCTCGGAGGTTCCGGTGATTGCGTTTCGTTTTAATTTTTTACAGGAAGAATACACAGTGGCCACAATCACAACAAAAGATGTGAGGTCTTCTGTTCAAACCAAATAAACGTCAATGTCAAGGCGTTGGGCTGCCATTTAAAATATATTTTTAGGTTCTATACTCAAATTTAATTTTAATGTATTCAGTCAATCTCTTACTTGTTTTCAATAAACTTTATTTAAACAAAAATAATAGAACAAGTAAAAATTCAAATATAGGAATGGTATACAAATTCCCAAAACACAACAGGGAGATGACAACAAGTATAAAAATAAAATCAAATAAGGATTAAACACAAAAGAAGAGGTAGTGTAAACAAACTCAATTTTCAAGTTTGTAAATTATATGTTTTCGTAGCCTTTTGTTTCGTACAGACAATGTCGACTTTTTAAATAACAGGAGTTGGTTTCTCATGCATAAATTTGGATCAATTAATGTAGAATTTGGCAAAAATAATAACGTTTTCCAAAGTAAACTTCCGGAATTAAACGGGACATCGGATGTGTCGTACAGGAACCTTGGGTATGTTTCCATATATATTCCAACGCTTGCCGACGTATCAATCCTGTCTGATTCTTTGGTAAGATTGAAGCTATCCACCCGCGTGGCGTACGTTGTAAAGTAAAAGTAAGTTAATAATATTCTCGCGCCACAAAAGTTAGTTTAGTGGGTGTCATTCAACGCCATTACACATATTAGTTATGATGTCTGATATCCAAGATCTTCCAAGACCTCGAATTAATTCATCGATGCTGTCACGATATATTAGCAAACCCGTCTGTTTCCTCGGGCGTGTTGAGAAGGTAACTCTCGTGCCTAACTACCGTGATTCACAGCATCCCATACGCGATATGACTGACGTAAAGGTTAACGTGCTGTATTGTTACACGTTTGTTATGTTTAGGTACACCCAACTGGAAAATCTTTCACGATCACTGATGGAGAGGGACAATGTGTTCATGTTGAATTAAATTACCCTGTGAGTATATTTTTATATGTTACAGACTGTTTTAAGAACAGTTAGCTACAGCAATCATTACTCTATATTTACTGTGTGTGTGTGTGTGTGTGTAAAAGAGGTTTGAACATTTATTAACATTTAATTTGAGATCGACCTATATGTTTGCCTTCAGGGCTGATACAGATACCAATTATTAACAGCCAAGGAGGCCAGTAATTCATATTTGGAGGCAATATTTATCCGCAAGGGCGGCCTGGTGGTCAATTTGGTTAGCGCGTCGACCTCACAGTGCAGAGGTTGTGGGTTCTATCCCGGCTCCGGCCTTCCTGTGTGGCGTTTGCATGTAATCCCCGTGCCTGCGTGGATTTTGTCTGGGTACTCCTCCCACATTCCAAAAATATGCACAGCAGGCTGATTGAACACATTGAATTGTCCCTAGATGTGAGTGCGGATGGTTGTTCGTCTCTGTGTGCCCTGCGACTGGCTGGCACCCGGTTCAGGGTGTCCCCGCCGACTGCCCGAAGACAGCTGGGATTTATATCATGTTTGTGGAATAGGTACTAAACAGAAAAATTCAGCTCTGTTCAGCCATCTCAGGGGATGTCGACGACCATTTTCCGACTTTCGACATGGCGAGCCATGAATGGTGATTACCTAAGCCCTGACTAACTATGATGTCATTTTCAGTTGACAGCAAGTGGCAAAATGAACGGCCCCTGAGATGGAAACAAAAAAAGTGGATTTGATGCTGCTTAATTCCTATTCCACAAACACAATATTCATCAGACTACCATGTTAAAACTAGTGAGGCAACGTATAATTTTGAGGAAAATTTTGGACTTTAACTCCCCTTTAATAAGCATCAGTATTATTTTGGAACACTGAATGTGTATATTATAATAGCTTAACGTGTAATATGACAGAAGTCGCATTGCCGCTAGCATGGCCGTCATTGCCCAGGCTTCAAGTTTGGTGCCAAGCAGATTCGTGCATGTGTGGGTGAACACGCAAAGGACTCTTGGAGAATAAATGCTTTTTTTCTAATGTAACTAGATTACATTAAACATATGTTTTGGCTCCAAATTGTGACCGGTTGAAAGCCTTTCATGCACCCTGCAACCTGATAACATGATAAGCTGTCCACTGTAGTAACCGCTGTCCCTTAAAGGGTTTACATTTGTGTTCATAAGTTGTGAAAAGCTTTTTGTTTGTTTGGCTTACGTAATTTGTATGTTACCAGTGACTTTCCATTGAACACTTTTTTTTTTTCACCTTCATCTTTCAGCTTGCAGAGGAGCTTTCTGGAATTGTAGAAGTCATTGGAATGGTGTCTAACAAAGGAGCTATCATGGCCACCACATTCCAATTGCTCCCAGAAGAGAAGGGCATGAACTTTAGTAGGTTATTATGTACGAACATGTCAGATGAGCTTTGATTTGAGCGTACTTATAATGATATTCTGCACATGTTCCCCACAGACCTGGAAAACTACAATGAAGCTGTAAAGATCATCCATGACTTTCCCGAGCACTATCCTTTTGGCATGACTGCAGCTGAATCCGATTTATTTTAAAGCAAATGTTTTGCTTTGTTTTGTTCTGAAAGTGACAAAAAATCATTATGAATTATATGTATCACTGAAACTATTTCACAATAAACCATCTGATATGCAATTTTACAAGTGCAAGTTTGTCCTTGATATGTAAACGAAATCACAAAACCTGCTTTGACTGTGCCAACTTTCCAATCACAACCCAATCAATCAGGAGGGCCCAATCAATCACCCCCCCCCCTCAGCGAATCAACATGGCTGTACAGCATGGCATAGATCCCCTCGTGCTGTCATTGGTCGACGTCAGGCTGAGAAACAATCAAGTACAAAACCTCTGAGTCATTCGGCATTATTTTCTGAGTACAGTATGCACCGAGGTCACGATAATCAAAGCGCGAAATAGCGAGGGATCACTGTACTTCTTGCCACTGAATAGTGTGCCCGCATCTACGAGTGCCTTGCATGCTGGGAAATGGCAAAGGTTTGTCTGAGGTAGCTGAACTTTCCATAGCACAAGTTTTGTGGAGAATGCTCTCACATTATCATAGGGAGCACTGACAAGTTACCCCTGACCTTGTAACCCCTTGTTCAGTCCATTCAGGTCATGCGTGACATCAAAATAAAAGTCCATGTGCCATATAGGATCATTTAAGATCCCGGATTTGATGTGGTTGATGCATTCAGGTATTTGCTGCAAAGGGCCACACCCTCCTTTTCAATTTTTTTTTTTTAAACAAATCCCGCCGGTCAATTTTTCCTCCCTTTCATTGATGGCACTCCATCAGTTGTTATAACAACAAACCTCTTCCGTGAAAAAACGGCATTCTCAATTGCATCGCACAGCTGATGAAATATCTCCTGAGTGGCATATTTCGCGAGTTGCGCAGTGTCAGTGATGACTGTGGCCTCATCAAGAGCGACTGAATATACACTGAAACATTTTGCTTTCTCACATTGTCTGTACTCCACTGGATGAGTCTCGAGTTGATCATAAATGTCACTTGGCATGTCACAAATGCACTGCCACGGTGTTGGCACAACGGCTGATGTCGCTGAATTGACCTTTCTTTTCTGGACAGACAATATTCGCAGCACTTTTTTGATAAATTCACCTTCTGTGAATGGCTTTCCTGCTTTCGCAATCACCTCACTAACCGCATAGCTAGCTTTGACTGCTGCGTTATTCTCTGGTTACTTTCTTTAAAAAAAGTTTGGTCGCTTCAGTGGCCATGTTTTAAGACTGGCAACTCGATTGGCTCTCTCATCTCCCTGGTATTTTGCATGTCTAGTTGTGTAATGACATTTCAAATGATAATTCTTATGCACCGCGACTTTCTCTGTGCAAATAAGTGTCGTCAGGGTGCCCCTGTGCTCCACAAAGAAATATTGAATTCCCCATTTTTCCTGAAATTGTCTGTGCTCATCACCGACCTTTCTCTTCACTGCAGGCTTTGAGAAAGACATGTTTGGGCTGTGTCATTTACAGTCTATCATTCCACTTGGTGTCAGTGTCGTGTTGAAGTTTTAATTTTAAAGTTTAGCTGACGTACAAAGAACATTATTTCCGCTGGTACCAGATCGGCTCAGGGTCCTGCGCCTGCATATGACGTCGAGGACGGCATAGTGATTGGTTCAAGGTTGGAAACCATGGAAACACAAATAGTTTGTGGTGGCCGTTTAATATTAAATTTAATTCATGAGAAAATGTCATAAAGTTTGAAAAGTTTGGCTACTGGCTAGCACGGAGCTAACGCTAACTCAGACACACACACGTAAAATTTTGGTTGTGTGTATGTAATAGTGCTAGCTCTGGGTTAGCGCCGTAATAATAATAATACATTACATTTATAAGCGCCTTTCAAAACACTCAAGGACACTTTACAATCAAAACAAGAACAATAAAACCACAGATAAAATTATAAATAATAAAAGGAGAGATGAATTTAAACTGAATTTAGCGACTCGAAATAGTTGACGCCGGCAACATCGCCGCCGCAAGGAGAGCACTCATTTCCCCCGTTCTTGTGCATGTGTAACATCAGGTCGGGTGCCTCGCAGCACTTGGCTCTGGTGACAGCCACACCGGTGTCTTGTCTATCTGTTTAAATGTGTACTGCACTCAGCAGCACAAACAAGGGCAGCAGCGGCAGGTTGTTTGCATCTGTGGTTTACACGTGGATTCAAGCTAGCGCTGGGCACCGTGGGCATGGTCACATTGCCGTCATAGTTCAGGTGCTCCGAAGCTGTCACCCTTCGAATGAGACAGACCGAACTATTTAGCACAGAAGTAGTGCTAATACATACAGCATCCATGTCAAACTCGCACTGGCTGCACTAACACTAAACTTTCACATCAAGGTGAGGGGCCTCAAATCAGTGTCCTGTGGCCCACGAGTGTGGAACGCCTGTATTACTATTTTGAAGCGACCAACTTCTCACGAACGACCCGATCGCGCACGTGCAAGCAATCAAGTAACGGGATTGATGATAGGCTGACTAGCTTAGCGCTTAGCGCCGTTATTTGCGCATGAGCGGTGATGCAGTCATCTGATTGGTTGCCTTCTATGTCAATCAAGTAACAGGATTGATGATAGGCTGACGGAGTACGTTCTGTGAAGTTAGCACCTTGTTTGAATGGCATCGCCACTGCCGAGGCGTTTTCGACACTTGTCGTGTGAGAGCCCGGGAGCCGCATTGAACCAGCCAAAGAGCCGCATGTGGCTCGCGAGCCGCGGGTTGGCCACCCCTGGTTTAAGCGGATATCCGTTTCAATGGCAGCAATGTTAAATGGTGGATGCGGGAGGGAGCCAGTATACTTCTTGAAGCGAAGTTGTAGTCTTGGAAGTAGGAAAAATGGACAAGCATAAATATGGAACAGCTTTGACAATATTCCGAACTGTAATAACTGAAGCAGAACATTGCATAAACAGTGTGGATGTTTTAATTTGTTTTCATTTCTTTAACAGATAAATGAAGAACTAAAGTGTTTTGAAATGTTGTTACAGTTTTTATACTTTATATAGTTTTAGCATTTGTGTGAATTTCTGATAATGTTTTACATGAAACAGTAAAGTAGAAGACCATGAAAGGGTTAATCATGTTTTAAGTTGAGTTTTCACGCCCCAGTTGCTCAGCCCCCCCCCCCCCCATCAATTAGGTAAACAATTATTGAAATCAAAGCCGCAGGAGCTCGGTCAAGTGTCCACGTCATAGATTTTGGCGCGCGATTGTACTTAACACTTCTGCACACGGACAACCCAAGCCAGTTGGCTTTTTGAGATGGAGAGATTCAGACGAAGACTGGACTTTTACCGGCAGCACCACCAAGAGTGCTCAGAGCGATACGAGAATGCTCAGGTAAGTCATCATTTTTCTTTATCGTTTGGCGGGCACCCGCGAATGCTAGGGTCCAGTTTGTCGTCGGAACAAACCGCGTGCTGAGCACCGACGGAAAATAGTTTCCGGACTTGTCATTAACCGGGTCAGTACAGACGGTCCTTCTCAGTCCGTTTATTCTTTCCGAGGTTTCATCGTCAATCAGTCGCTAGCGGCGGGCTAGACGTCCGTTAGCTACAGGCCGTAAATTGATTTAAATTTCAAGTTGCTTGATGTAGTCTAATGAAACCTAATGACCTTTACCGTGTGGATTTTGTTTATGAAAATAGCGATAGCGATGGAATTTTTTTTCATCATCAAAGGTTTTTCTACACGTACTAACGATGGCGAACTAAAAAGAGAAAGCAGCAATTTAGCAACCTTGCGCATATGGCCTCCGCTCGGGCGGTTACGGCCTTGTCGCATTGTATTGTTCATGTGGTTTAAAAAATAAGAATTGTCGTTTAACTAGCGAATTGAAATGAGCAGACGAATGAACGAAACATAAGCCAGTGCTATTGCTAAACTAGGCTGGTTCAGTTTAGCCAGAAACCATTTTTTTTTCTCGAGAAAAATGTTTTATTTTCTTTTATTAAATAACGAACGAATGCGGCGGATTGCGGGCCAACGAGCTGGGTCACTGTGTTTTTAACGTCAGTTGATATGCTTCACAGTCGCTCCGAAGCGTTTATCCACATGAGTTTTATCATCATCCTAGGTTCAAATACTGCTCTGCACCATTTTATTTATTACTATAACAGTTTTTACTGTGTTTATAATTACCCGCAGCCAGGCATGAGTTGCAAATAAGCCATTTTGTTCACATTAAAGACCCTCAAAAGTAATTTCCGTGCATTTGTAAATACATGAAATATGTTGGAAGTAGTGTTAATTTTAATCGGCCATTTAGTGTCAGTTTTTCGCCCAATTTCAATCACGGTTATATTTTTAAATCATATTTAGTCAGCCTAATTCCGTTTTATTTCGTCAAGTTTTAGTTGACTGTGAGTCGAGCATTTTCGTCTTTATTTTTGTCCAACAAAAAATTTAATTCATCTACTTTTAGTCAGCAAAAACGCAACATTTTAGTCTCGTTTTCGTCAGGACAATCATTTTACCCGTTCACATTTTTTGTCAGATAATCATATTGAACATTTCCATATTTATAGACATAATTCATGCATGAAGTTAGGTTAGTTATTTTGAATTGTCAAATTCATTTTCGTCTTGTTTCTGCCCATGAACTAAACTGTCCGTAGATTTTTGCCCAGTTTTTCTTGAATCAATTATATTTTTGTCTCTTTTCCATTAGACTAGAACAGTGTTTTTCAAATCCTGTGCCAGTGTATCGCGAGACATTGTCAGCTGTGCGGCGGGAAAATATCCAATTTGTCTGCCTGTGGGGTCTATCCCCCAGAAAGTAATCGTGTAGTACCCTTCCATACCGCCAGGGAGCAGCAACAGCTTGCGTTGTGTTTAGACTGGAAGAGAAGCGAATTTGTGACGCATGAATGCAGGACGACGGTGAAACAATAAATATGAAAGATTATAAAATACTCTTTTCTTTGTGCTCATTTGATTCTAATTCAAGCTGTTATAACATCATTCTTCAATGTTAAAAAACAGTTGTAGGAACAATATAACACGTTAATTGTTAAAATAAGCTTTTTTTTTCTTCACTTTTTCAGCTAGTGGTGTGCCGCGAGATTTTTTCAATGAAAGAAGTGTGCC